ATTCTCCAATTACTAAGCATACAATCGTCCCAACTTAGAACTCGAATTAAACATCGAATTTAAAAACACTTCTCTTATCGACGATTTTCTTATTTCAAAAAAGTTCTTCAATGTTTCTGTCTCAAATTAATACCTTGCATATGTGAAATTCCACTGATTTTGCTCTACCATTTCGCTATTGAATTCAACTCAAAATACTCAAATAAAGTATAATTGAAAAAAAGAAGAGGAGGTGTAGTTGTGACCCACGTCCAAAATGGAGAACCAAGGGTTGAAGAGATTGTCTCGAGCCTCTAAAACCTCATGACCCAATGATAATGATCTAGTTTGAATACTTAATCTGCATAATCAAGTTCATGACGCCCAACTCCGTTACTTCTCCCCGAAGGATCGGAGGATTTAAATGAACTTGCTCATTTAATTGAACCCACATCCCACCGAGACAAATTCTTAACTCACAGACTGAATTAAAAAGGCGAATATAAAGCCTGCCAAACAATTCCGAAAACCTGATTTTATCGTATCGCCGGAATAGTTTCCCCCCCAGAAAATTGAGATACGCACCTTTTACTAATGATTTATTGTCGCCCATTAACGGGGTTATGCCTCGAGAGACGGGTATACTCCTGTCCCATAATGATTCGCTCGAGTGATTTTCTGTTCAGTTATGTGTGAGATAAATGAAAAAAAAATGCCATGTGTGAGAATATGTCGTTCTGGCTACTACTGTCCACGTTAGGCGCCCCACAACCTTCAAGTACTCATTTTTTTATTTCATAGGTGTTGTACGTGCGATAGAAAAAATGAGAGAATTATGTTGGAAAAATTTGTTGCCCCGAGAGGTAAAACCCGATCCCCAACGTCAAAGTCACCATTCTTATCTCGATTTATCGTGGAATTGGATATTTACCGACGCGAAATAAATTTCATGTATACATGGGGTGTTAGTTGTTCACTCTTTCGGTTTTCTTGTCTCTTGAATGAATCGCGATTTATGGGACAGTATTTTCGATGAACAAATCATATGAACATTTTATTGGCCGTTAAGGCGAATAGAGGGTAATGGAATTCATGGATTGTTTTTCTCTTTGGGGGATGTTAGAGGGATTCAGAGGGGGTCATTGGATATTACGGAAATTTCCGGGTCTAAATGGCTCGAGACCTTCTATTTTCTTTATTCTACTCTAATAATGCTCTCTCCTAAAATATAAACAAATATCTAGAGATTTAAATTTGAGAGAGTTAAAAAATTGTCTCCTTTGTTTAAATTTAATTTTATTGGATTTGGAGAGAGCTGTTTGGAAAATTTAATAGTATTTGTTAAATCGCTTGGGTTCAACTCGTGTTTATTTTAAAAATTCAGCCCAAATAACCCATGCCCAATTAAACAGAAAGGGCATTAAACGAATTACTGAACAAATTGAGGTACAAGACTGTGGGAAAGGTAATGTTGTCAAACGATGTTTTTAATAACCGCTAATGGCTCGGGCCATCCAATAATCATCCAAGTTTACAGCATTCTAGATTACTAGACACCCTATCACATACTGGTGTAAATATTTCCCACTCGTATAAATGTCAGGGAAGCCCGGAATTACCAGACATCATCGTCTCTGACTCATCGTCTGCCCTGTGTATTAAAAGCCTTGATTAAATGGAAACCTAGTAGAGAATCGGCAATGTTTAGCCATTTTCAAAAATCTTAGAACATCTCGTCGTACTTGAACATATTCCTTTTTTTTTTCATTTGAAATTTCAACTATAATTTTCTAACATTCGTAGTTCTCCAACTTTGTTAATATTGAAAAAAACATAATGAAAATATTGAAATAGATAAAAAACTTTTCAAATTGATAATTCACCAAATAAAAGACTCAAAAAAAAAAATAAAAATAGGAAACAATGGGGAAATCTACGCGGAATGGGACGTCCAGCCAAAAATTTGTAGTACCGTAGTAAAAGAAGAAAATATTTAAATTTTTATCGAAAGAAAGAAAATAGTTTCATCTATGAGGTAAAGGCAAGCAATATTTTGATCAATGCTTGTGGTGTTTGATAAAAATCTTTAATAGACTTTCACAGAAATGGCCTTGAATTTTTTAATGGAAGTTTTATGGCATCTAGATATTAGTTGCCTTGGAATGTCTATTTCATTTATTTTTCAAACGGAAAATGCCCTGACCTCAATTTCCGGGATGCATTTATGGTGTATCTGAACGTGATAAGACGTCAAAAACTTCCTCTGTACGGTTTTAACGGCAAAAAACAAATATGTAAGTGAGAGAAATGACATTTATGGCATTGAAAAGATATTCATATTCATGGATTGACATGATATTTTCTACGTACATTGCAATGTTACGATCTGGGAAGAATCATTAGAAAAAATATAATGGAAACATTGTACAAATTATATTTGAATCGTAAAAGCAAGATCACTGTTAGGAGTTTTTATCCTCATTTTCCAGGCTGCAATGCATGAATATTTATATATTTGAATTAGATTAAAGCAGCAAATCTGTTAGATTCAATCACATTTTTTTTCTATACATAATTTTTCCATTTAATTACTCTATGGAAATAATGAAAAAAATGAAGAATTAGGAAAAAAGCCATAATTCAAGTAATTTTTAAGAAATACTTTTGCTTCATTGAAAATGCAATCAAGTTGTTCAACATTTTCCATAAATTTCATACAAAACATGAATTTTCGTAATGAGTTTTTCTGAGAATTTGCTACAATATAATTCTCGAGAGAATTACAGCAATCTTTTTCATAGAACTATTATGAAGAATTAATAAACTTAGTTTTCTGCTTTTCAAAAATTTCAGAATTGAAATGTCATTTCTTTCTATCTCACCTTACATCTGCATGGGGTCAAGGTCAATACAAAACTTACGAAATAGGTTTCGTTCGGAGCCCGGTAAAGTTGCAATCCGGAGAAAAAAATTTCAAATTACGGAGTCTTCTACTCTTTTTCTAGCTGATTAGAAAATTAAATCGCGAATTATTTATTGTAAATAAAATTTTTAAGTTGACTCCAAGTTGACTTCAAAAATTTTTTTTAATATACATATAGGAGGGCAGTTTTATCGTCATAGTCATCATCAAAAGCTTCTTATTTTATTTTCATATATAAACCCATAAAATATTTAAAAATAGAAATATCAACATGAATTTTCAAAGGGGTCGGAGTGCGAACGGTTGATTCATTCGGTATGCTTTAATTGCAACAAGTAAATTTACTTACAAGTTATTTTTTCTTCTCCATGTTGCTATCATTAATCACTCGGAGGGGAATATTCATGAAAAATTACGAAACATTTCACATAATCTGCAAGTGAGAGCGGTTTCGCATGAATTTCCATGTAAATATAAGCGAAAAATTTGAAATGTTCAGTAAACTTTCGGATCTCTCACTGAAAAAGTACAAAAAAAGTACCTAATTGTTTTGGGAAATGTTAAATCTAACAGGGATTACACGAATCATTATGTCCAAGAATTTTTATCTAACATTTGGTAAATTTGATGTGTTTGTGCAGCGGGTAATTTTCATTGAACTTTTCTATTGGTGCAACCACTCGACTATATTCAATCGCGACGACAGTTCCCATCGATTCTAAAGGCAACCGGAAAACCGTTAGTCCAAACCCCTACGTTTAAACTTATTCTGATGAAAAACTTCCCAATGTATTTACAAAACCAATATGAAGAAAAAAAAACCCCTTCCGTTTCATTGCAAAACTAAGAAATGGAAATAACCTTGATTACCGTTTTATTTCAAGCCGACTTATTCCCAGTCCTCCACCACTTCGAGTGATCGAATAATTTTTCAATTTTCCTCATTCTTTTCACACGAGAAATCTGCACCTTCTCATGAACAAGACCCACCGCAACGATTTCCAAGAATTCATCCGGAATTTTAAATAATGTACTCAGCAATGATTTTTCAACCATTGTTGTTCTATCATTTCACCTGAGATATTTATATTATGCATTTTCTTCTGAGAAGAAATTTACTGACCGAGACACAAACTGCTAGAATAACGGTACTCCCAACTTTTGTGGAAAAATAAGAAAAATATAATGCGAAGGATGGTTAGAAATAATAGAAAATTCTCTGGTATTTTACAAAAAAATATTTTTACTATTGGCGTTGTGGTGGTTTTGCGTAGGCAGATGTGTAGTGGGTGGGCTTGGTCAGGTCAGACGGGAAGTGCAATGATATTGGTTATCTTAACAGGAGCTTTGTCATGGGCTGTTGGCTAATAACCTCGATCGAGCGTTATATCCCTTGTAATAACAAACATTTCTAAGAGCAACGATAAGGGGCATACGTCTTGCTGTATACCGGTGTCTTTTGACGAAAGCTATTCTAAACTAAGCAATCATGACCACCTTACACTCACGAAAGAGTACATTTTTTTCTAGTGGTACATTGCTAGAATAGTTCAGTAAAATTTTTAGTATAGTGAAATTTTATATGAATTCTTAAAAAACGAATTAGTTAGTTAATCTGGTAAAAAATGGTAAAATTGATTAGTACTTCATGTTCAATGTTTATCATCAGTCAAAAATTCATGCTGCTATTAAAAAATCAATTGTTTAAATTGAAAATTGCTGTTTTCGTAAATTTTCAAGATTAATGAGAAATTTATTGAGCGGTTTTTAATTGAAATTGAGTTCAAGCTCGTGGAATGATGAAATCAAATGATACTGTTACTGATATTTCAATAAATAATGAAATAAAGCGGTGAATTCATATCTGCCGCCATTATATGGAAGCACCATATATGTGCTCGGCAGGCAAACTGGGATGAAGAAACGAAAGTAAAGTAAAGGCACACGACAGAAAGCGATGCATGTGTGGTCTGTATAGGTATTATATTCGGGTGGTGGTGCAAACACGTCGAAACCGGCAAGACTTGGGGGACCAAAGTCGATTCAACATGCGACACGAGAAAATGATCTTTCTGGTGGCACTTCAGTTGCTCCACCTCGCAGTCACCGTAAACACCCGGTGTTCATTCTCAACTCATTATTTTCACAGCCGTGAGGGCTCATTAAAAAATCACAAATAAATCGTCTAAATCTCTCGTTTTGTCTGAGAGACAGACAAAAGTTACTCAAACACTTGCGGAGTTGTGAAACGGACGGTGGGAGGACCTATTGACCCCATCGCGTGCATCAGAGGTGGAAACCAGTCTAGTGGGAAGGATATCGTGAACTTTTCAGGAAAATAACAAAAATCTAAAGACGGGAGGACCCAAGCTCTTTCGCTCATTTAGAATTCCTTTTTCTACCCATTTTTTTTTTTATTTCCTTGCATTTTATATTTATTTTGCACCGAATAACGGGGAGAATGTGGGCCGGACAGGACGACACGCAAAGATTCAAGACCAGGTAAATACTTGGCATATGTGGAACATTTCATTCATCTCACAGCTAATGTTTTAATTACCCGGATTATTCGTTTAAATGGCGTAAATTTTTATCGCCACGTTTTCACGACTATTTAATTAATTAAATGACTCTAGTTTCGTTATGTGAGATTGTTGCCGGTCATCTGCTTATCGGAATTGGAGTAATTAGGTTAATTAGATGATTTCAATTGCGAGAGAAAATTTATTCGAGTATTGGAGTGACGGAGGACCTAATTAGGGGCGTGAGGTTAATACACCGTTTTTTATTCGGAATAATTCCAGATTGGTTGAGTGAAATTGAAGATTTTTTTTAAACTATTAATGCAAAATCTTGGCAATAATGTGTGCAAGCCACAAAACCTGAATTATATGTTGTCAGGTGCATTGGAAAAAGATTTGCAGAATTTAACTTCGGCGTTGTGGAGATGTGCATCGGCAAACATCCAAAATTAGGCCAGTCCAGGTCATTCAAATTTTTGTAATTATTTCGAAAAATGTCCTCTACAATCTGCAAGACAATTTTTCTATCTTAAAAATGAAATTTGATTTATCTAAACAGGATAATTTTTTGAAATAAGAAATATCGGGCTGTTCAAAACGGTCTGATTGTAGAAGATTTTTTGAAAATAGATTTTATTCGATTGGAGAATTCAGTCGATCAATTGTGGATGGATCGGTGGAGATGAAGAGCAAGAAATTGATAGCACAGGAATTCGTGACTTTGGAATATATCTCGCGTGCCGGAAACTCTTACCTTGTTGATTCTGAAACTAGGGGCTAAGAGGGTTAAAGGGGTTATCTCTTCCTTGGCTGCCGGCTGTCGATACTCCTTTCACGTGTGGCAAATAAATCCTTGAGAAAATTCGAAATCTAGGTGGATAATGATAGGGGGGAATGAATTTGTCGAGCAATCCAACGTTTCAATGAAATTGGGGAAATGTTCGATTATATGGATCGCTCTATAAAAAAATTAGAGAATCCAAAAATCGAGCGATTGCAAAGCTCTTATTCGGAAGCATGAGGATTACTTCTCGAAAGTATTGCATCGAACTTTTCATCGCACGGTTAGAGATTCCGGCAAATTTTCACATTCACAACATTTTTAGGCTTTTGTGTATGTATAAATCTCAAAATCGAGAAATTTCTAGCCTAGAAAAAAATTCATCCAGCTTCAGGATTTAAAACCTACAATTTCTTGATATTAGAAATTTATTTTGTGTCAATATACATTCCTTCATTTCTGTTTTTTTTTTAAAGTTTAATATCGTACTGTGTTAGCCGAACGGAAATCAATTTCTGTTTGAAAAATTGCCAATTCTGTAATTAAAAGGTGAAGGTAATAATTTAATATAGCTACTAGATTATTTTTCATAGAATATCTCTAAATTTAAGACACATGTCGGAATCTGTATGCAAATCTTTTATGTAGCTTTTATTTTACTTTACTATACAAAAATCATGAAATAAGTAACAATTTCTCATAGATTTAAAGAAGATATTCGGCGAAAACTCGACTAAAAATAAATCGACTTGTTACACTTTACCCCTTCACTACAGAATTACTGGAGTGTGTGTTAATTTCTCGGTGTAAGAAATGATTTTTGTGATATTAAGTATATTTTTCGGGCAGTGTACCTTTTATAGGTCTGTCGTCGATTTTACGTCCAGTGATTCATAAACGTACAGACCTCCGTGCACTTCCATATCGGGTCACAGAATTCTCACAGCGCGCTTGACATCATCGCATTTGTGGTCAATAATTTTTCTCATCTACCTTTACATCAACCAATAATGGCCACTACTAAGTACACCGGTACTCAAATTCCTACTTTAAGTACCAAGTACTTACTGCTTAAAATACTTTATATCTATCTAGAACGATAAAAGTACTGAGTCTAATTTTTCAAAGAACCTTACCGCTATAATAATGCTTTAGCTTCTTACTGCTACAAACGTTATGAGTACTCAAGCAATATAAGTAGAAGGTAAGAAATATAGGTATACTTGAAGTTTTAGTACTTGTGATGGTAAGTAAGCAATGTGCTTAGTGCTCGTAGTACTCAGCAGTCAAGGCAGTTTAATGTAGTAGTAATCTGCGAAAAAATTTAGTAAATAACTATATCCAGGGTGTGAAAAATTGTGCCAAATTTATTATTTGAATGAGGTATGCATCTCATGGCATAATTTATCAAATGCTGCGTGAGACAAATATCAATTCTATAGTGAAAATATTTTGGAAGTGTGCCGCTTTCTTCCTCGATAAAGTACCCCATTTACCTTATTTGAACCACTCCATTTATACTGTTCGAATGTACTTAGTACTTAGGTATTATTAACGATCTAAATACAAAGTACATTTGGTACTAATTGGTGGCCTATTATATATGGTGGACAACAATTGCATTAAAAAATAAATAATCAACTTGTTTTCTTTACTTTACTGAGTATTCCATATATTTAACACATAAGGCGGTTTCCAAGTACTGAATACATTCGTCTACTTATAGCACTTAAAACTGTTTTAGTACTGAGTACTTAAGGCATTTAAGCACTTACGACTATAAGGGATTCAGCAATTTGCGATGGGCAAGTTTCTGAGTACTCTGTACCCCGTACATAGTTAGTACTCTGCGTGGAATATTTGGTAACCGATATATCCAGCACATAGCATCATAAGTACCAAATAATCGATATAGCAAATAGTACTAGGGATCAAATCGGATTAAATACTCACTACGGTGAGTCCAGTTACAAGCACTAAATCCATAATACTAGGTACTAATTACTGAGTATTAAGTGCTTGGCACTCGACATTATTGTGGACTGAATTTTTTGTAAGTACTTTGTACTTAGTGCTGGGTGTACTTAAGCATTTAGAATCTAGTAGGATTTTATTAGTGATAATTTATCTCAATACTCCCATAGTGTCTCGAATGCTATTCTCGATGAAGGCTTTATAATTAGATGGTATTACAGAGGTATGAATTTTTATATGGGAGTGATGAGTACTTGGTGTGGATAACTTATCCTGATTTTTATTGAACGGTAGTTTGAGGGAAGCTTTGATTATTCGATCGATCGATTTCGAGACAGAGTGGAACGACCTCATCGACATAGCTTGTATACATAAAGATGTGTCTGGGCACGCGAGTTTTCTAGTTCAAAAATCGATGAGGAATTTGTCGGTATCGCGTGTGTGCTACAGTGTTAAAGCCTCAATCTTTGAATTACTCCATTAAATGAGGGATTAATTGAGTGATAGAACAGGAAAGAGAACGGCGGAACATGTGTAAACATCATGTATTTGGTTTACAAGTAATCATGTACTGTTAGGAAATTACTTGTCCATTTTCAAGTTGAAAAAAGTTGACATTTTTTATAACGACAAATTTACAGGAAATTCAGTAGCATTTTGTTTTTAAATATCAATCAACGTTTTGGAGATCAATGAAAATTCAAACAAGTTAATAGAAGTAATTTTTATTCTCAATGTCGTGATACTTTTTTTTTTTAGTATCAATGCCTTAAATTAAGCTTGACTTTTCTTGAGAGGAGATCTTTCGGGAATTGAAATGCTCAATGAAAAAAAAATTACCACTATAGTAGTCCGTAGACACTCGAGTACATGATGAAGAGGGAAGTCGTCTCCATGTAAATTAAATAAAATGACATCAAATGAGATCAGATGAACTCAGAGGGATAGCTAAGTATCTAGACAATTGTAATAGCCGAGACTCTTTCAAGCCGATGAAAAAAGACCAACTCAGCAAGCGAATCAAGACAGAAGACAACGAAATAAATGAAACAAGTGCATTTACCTCTTTTACTCGGGGAAAAAATTCAAGACTATGTGGAGACTTTGTCTGATACTTGCGGCTGCTTTGTAACGAGATAAGTCCGCATACAGTGAAATTCGTCGCTTTGTAAAGCCACTGAATGGCATTTCCTGGATTTTACGAGCACGTCTACGTGTTTGCCCTCAAATTGACGCCCTCGCTTGGTCGCGTGCCTCAAGTAATTAAGTTTTATCATCCAACTTTTCTCAAAAATATACCCCTTCAACTCATTCTCTTGGACACTACGGCATCTCATATGCCACAATTATGTTGAATACATATTATCAAATCTTACGGTTAATTACGAAATTTGATCTTGTCAATTATTAGATGAAATATGTGAATTGCAATTCTATTTACTTGACTAATTAGGGAATTCAACTTCTAAATAAGCAGATGAAAATTTTCTAAAAGTAGATGAAAAACCTAAATTATGAGATGAAAAATCTGAGTTATGATATTCGAATTTGTAAATTATGAGATGTAAATCATAAATGATGATTTCAAACTCGTAAATTACATGGTTGATACTTGTAATTTGTGTTCTTAATGCCGTAACGTATAAGTTGGAAATCGTAATTTACGTTTTTAATATCGTTTTCATCTTAAGTTTTCAACCAGAACCAGTATTGTACCATTACCTTTTTTTTTGCTTATATATTTCATTGATTTACTATTTTAAAAACAACAGAGTTACTATTTACCATTTTCTGAAATGAAGCTCTCTTTCATTCACGTATTTCATTTTTAATGAAGAAGAAATAGTATAAAAAAAAACTAACCGTTAAGTACACGTTCTTAAACGTAATTGACTTAAACGTAATTGTTTTTAAAACGTACATTTTGAAAATGACATATTTTTTCGCGGTATTCTGATCAATAATTTCTCTGGAGTCGAAAGAAAAAATGAAGAAAGGTGGAAAGGAGGCGAAATGTCTTCACTAGTTGTGTTTTTAGCAACTTTTTCTGATATTTTATTGAAAAATTATTATTTATTACCAAAATTAAAACCCATCGTGTTTTTTACTTACTGAAACTATCGAACTTAAACGTTCAATTTAATTGAAAAAAATTTTATGGTGAAAAAATTAAATATTATTATAAAATGAAGTTAAATATTTTTTTACTCAATTGGATTAATGTC